TACAAGAACCATGGAACTTTGTATATAATCCATTTCACAATCAACCTAGGTATTTTAATGATTTTATTCAGCAGTTCCATTTGCTATTTTCCTGATACAATTTCCACTCTTTTATTGAGGTGTGGTGATATTGAGTCCAACCCTGGTCCAGTTCAGAATACTACACCTATTACTTTTATGTTTTCAAATATTAACAGCCTAGGTGCAAATCAAAATGCGAGGTTTGATGCTCTGAAAAATCGAATTCGTTCTGAAAATTGTTCTATTATTGGTTTGTGTGAAGTTGGAAATCATTCTGAAAAATATATCAATGATAATTATAAAATTTCAGGATTCCATTGTCCGGTGTATGTTAACTTAAATAGGGGAATGCTTGTCTACATTTCTGAAGATTTGCCAGCTCCTAAAATAAGACATGATTTAATGAATGATTCGTGTGACAGTATTTGGCTTGATCTAAATCTTCACTACAAAACTGTTACATATGGTTTATATTATCGCTCACCTTCACAGAATAGTGTTGAAATGAAATCATATTTTGACCGGTTTGAGAAAAGCTGTGAACGTGCTCTCATGTCAAAAAATACAATTGTAATAAATGGAGACTTTAATGCTAGAAATGACAAATGGTGGCAAGATGATCAAATTAAGCAAGAAGGAACTATTTTAGCTGACTCAATTCAAAATTTATGTCTGACTCAACTGATAGATGAGCCAACCAGAGTTACTTTGACCTCTAGGTCATGTATTGACCTCCTAATTACAAATAATCCAAATATGATTTCTTCCTCCCGAGTAACACCACCTATTGGTAACACAGACCACAGCACCCTTATCTTTGATATTTTTACAGGAACAATAAGAGATCCACCATACTCTCGTAGAGTTTGGGAGTATTCAAAAACAAATGTTCAGTCCCTAAATGACAACATTAGATCTTCTAACCTTGAACAATTGATAGACGCCAGTGATAATATTGACATTCTTGTAAAGGATTTCTCAGCAAATCTTTTACAAATTTTCACATTAAACATTCCAAATAAAATGATAATAAAAAAAGCTAATGACAAACCATGGTTCAACAAGCACATCAAATCTCTGATTAATAAAAGGAACAAACTGCATTATAAATTTAGGCATTCCAACAAGGAAAGTACTTATATTAAATACAAAGAGCAATGCAAAATAGTAAATGAGGCCATCTCTAAATCCAAAGAGGATAATGATAATAGGCTTTATGCTAAATTGTCAAAAGAATCTTTTGGATCAAAGGGATACTGGCACATTATTAAACAGTTTCTTGGAAATAGTCAATCAAGAATTCCTTTTCTGATAAATTCAAGAGGAGATACAGTTTTGAGTAGTCTTGAGAAATCGACAGTTTTTCTGAATCAATTTATCAAAAGTTTCCATACTGAAAATGACCAAATTGATACTAAATTGAACCAAAGAACTGATGCCTTTTTTGACCTTCTTTCAACAGACAATACTGAAATTTTTGAAATTTTATTGGCGCTTAAGACTGACAAAGCTAGTGGCCCAGACTCCATTAGTAATAAAATGCTTAAACTATCAGCCCCATCATTAGCTCACATACTTTCAAAACTGTTTAATAAGCTTTTGACTCTGAATACATTTCCAAAATGTTGGAAATTAGGAAATGTTGTCCCTATCTTTAAGAAAGGTGATAAAAACATTGTATCAAATTATAGACCTGTTACTTTGCTAAGCTGCCTGTCTAAAGTCTTTGAAAAAGTAGTATTTAACAAAATGTTTAAATTTCTTGTTGACCATAATTTACTTTACAACTTGCAAAGTGGCTTTATTCCTGGCCACAGTACTCAATATCAGCTCTTAAGAATTATAGATGATATTGCCAATTATATTGACCATGGGGAAAATGTGAAAGGAATATTTTTAGACATTTCGGCCGCTTTTGACTCGATGCCACATAAACTTATATTGAACAAACTTCCAAGCTATGGTTTTGGACCAAACATATGCACTTTCTTTGACTCATATCTAAATAATAGACAGGTAAGAGTGGTTATTGACGGACACGAATCAAATTGGTCAAATGAAAACTACATAAATACAGGAGTTCCCCAGGGATCTATTTTAGGACCCCTCTTGTTCCTTTTATACATAAACGACCTTACCGATGAAACTAACAACAAATGTTTCCTTTTTGCCGATGACTCCTCTATTTTCTGCTCGTACAACTCCACTAATAATATTGAAAAAATAGCAGCCTTGCAATCCGATTTGAATGCTGTTCACAACTGGTCAGCAAGATGGCACATGCAATTTAAAGCAACCAAAAGCAAGGAACTAACATTTTACAATCCTTCTAAATCCGAAATTTTGACCCCCGACTTGTATCTTGGTGATGAACCAATACCAAAAGTTAAAACACATAAACACTTGGGACTGGTCCTAGATCAAACCTTATCATTTACACCACACATTAATCAAATGATAAGCAAAATAGACAAACTTTTAAATCCGTTAAAGGCATTAGCCCCTAAATTAAGAGGGAAAGATCTAAAATTGATGTTTTCTTCATTTATTATGCCACATTTTGACTTCTATGACATCATTTATGGGTGTGGAAAAGCAAGGGATTTAAAACAACTTGATCAGATTTATTATAAAGCTTCTCTAATCTGTTCTGGTGCTATATTTGGTACATCATCCACCAAAGTGCTCAGAAGTTTAAACTGGAATTCTCTTGAAATAAAGAGAAAGGTTCACAGAATGTCATTGATGTTTAAAGTTCAGGCAAATCTAGCGCCTGGGTATGTCTCAGAAATGTTCACTAAATTTCGCAGACCTGCCATTAGAGAAGGTCTAAGATACACCTCAATGTATCAACTTCCGGTCAAAAGATCAAATACTTTGAACAAATCATGTATAATTTCAATTTTAAATGAATGGAATGCTCTCCAACCTGAAATAAAGCAAAAAGAAAATGTTAAATTATTTAAAAAAGCTTTCCTCGAAGAAATTGCTCCACCTAAAGTAATCTTAGCATCTGACCTCCATATAACAAGGCATCAAGAAATAATTTTAAATAGAGTCAGATCAGACCTTATTTTCCAAGCACATCTTCACGCCCACAATTTTACAAATGTACAAAGTCCTACATGCTATTGCAACCAAGATAATGAAACCACACACCATGTGATTTTCAATTGTCCCCTCAGGAAACCATTTTTAGTAGACTTTGAAGCACAACTCTGCCAACTAAATTTTGGATACTTTAATACATTTAAAACTAAAATGGAAAAATCACAATTATTCTTATATGGTACTCCATCACTTACCAGACGTTTGAATATCAAAATACTCAGTCTCAGTGCAATATTTCTAGAAAAGTGTGCAGCCATCACCCAGGCCCCTGTTGAGTGAACTTTAAAGATGTTACCTTGATTATAAGGTTTTATATATTGCATTCATACTTGGCTAATAATGCTCTTTGAGCCTAGCCAAATTGTATTGTATTGTATTAACTATTGCTTTTTGTGTAAATAAAATAAACTATAAATAAAAATAAAAAAAAAGTAGTAGAATACCCTTTATCATACAAATAAATAACATTTATTATCTCGACCTTGATACTGTTACTGTGTCAAGGATCCTTATATTGACAGGGGGAGATTGAAGATTCTTGTACACACATCTTGTACGAATTATCTCCCTTACTTTGTCTCGATTAGGCCCATACAGGTTAACTGTTGGTTTATCATTGCCAAATTTTTTAAATTGTATGCGATTTGCAATGATTAATCTCCAATTGTTACATCGCTGAATCAGAGAATAATCAAAAAAATGTTCTGATAAGAGGGGTTTGTAAATTGGGCGCATTACAAACAGGACAAACAGAGAATAAACCTATAAATACATTGTATTGGCCTTAGTCGTACAATGGAACTATCCCTATACGTGCTTAAAGTCTCAATTATACAGAACGGACGATGTAAGAATTAATGAAACAACATCACAATAATATTTTGCAACTTATTTCCTTTATCCAATTCTGTCTTCAACTGCATGTAACACGGCATTGGCACTCGACCCCCTCCCCAAATTCACGGTATAAAAAGTGTATAGGTTACTGTATACATGTAGTACACCTAGCCAAAGAGAGATAACGTAAACTGTAAACAATCAACTTATATGCAGAAGTACATACGTGCATGTATGTAATGAGTAATTACATTCAATTGTCACTAATAACTCCTCTAGGTAAAAACTCACCTATGGTCGAAAACGCGAGCACCGTCAATACAAACGTTATTCTGCACAGGAGAGACATGGTGTCTGCCGGCGATATGACAGCTTGGATGACAGCTACAATGTCACATGACTATCATGTGATATAAATAAGGTTCACATTTGAAATAAAAACAACCGTGGTCTCCAATCGTATGACCTAAATTGACATTCGATCGATGGATGTGTTTTTCCTTACAAAACATGCTCTCTATAAGGCCATTTGTTGTAAAATATCAATAGATTTTCACATAATATCATCATAAACAAGACATTAACATGCAAAATGTCACCACTTACCATTTGTTACAATATGTCACTAATTCTGATGGTACCATAATAACAACCGCAAATTGTCTATTGAAAGTAGATTTTGAGAGTCGTTTTTTTATCAATACCTCCACCTCAACATGTTTGCATAACACCGTTTGAACCAAATACCTAAGTAATCATTGCTTGCTGAATTGGAATTGCAAAAACCTCTGATTTCAACAAATAACGAAATGGAGGCCAGACTTTTTACCGAAATTAATCCCAATTTTAGCATGATCACGCATAGGCCTAACTATTTTTGAATACAGTATGTTTACACAACTTCAAATAGTTGCTAGAGTAAGTTAAGCATGACGTCATTATTTTAAATTGATAATCTGCATGACGTTATAGTATTTCCTTCATACGAAACATATTTTCAATGACGTCATAGTATGCATTATGGTCTTAACCAATCAGAGACTGTGAAATCGTCATGGATATTGTAATAACAAATACATTAGATGCGAAACTGGAATTTGATGAGACAACAACTATTATTTACTCTAATCAAAAATACAACAAAATAAAATAAAATGGCTATCAAGAAAGTACAGAAAGCTTGGCGACAACTGAGAATGTTATTCTCCAAGAAACAAACAAGTAGCAAGGGAGTTGGAACTGATTTGTCAATCCCGGAGCACTGCCAAAGTGAGTTTGATATAACATGTTTCCGATGTTATCATGTCGGCTTTCCATCATTTCTATTTTATCTTACCAAATATTATATAAAAATAAACATAAGCTTAATATGATTTTATTTCTTTTCAGCTGAGAATGTGTTCACTTTCGTAGTGCAGAATAGGTTAGCAGAAGCAGTCGCTGAAAGAGGTATACCATACAAATAGACAGTATTTTATTTAATTCAAAATTTAATTCAAAATGGATACCGTGTTCCACATTTGAAAATCAAAATGTGCATTGTCTTGTTTAAAATACATTCATTTCGTAACAACTAAAAATATACCTATATAAATCAATTATCAGTTAGCAATATGCACTCAACTTGCAGGCATTCATTAGATAATTCAAGTAAAAAAGCATATTATAATTTACTTTTCCAGATACTTTGAGAACAGAGAAAGACCGTATGGAAAAAGATTTGGAGATGGAACGACAGACAGTTGGCAGAGCTCAAAAGGAAATAGGTAATGTATTATCATATAAAATGTAATGTCCACACCCTGCCATACCATACACTAACACACGGTATCATGTGTCGGTGAGGGTCCGCAACGTATGAAACACAATGCAAAATGTAAAACCTCACGTCACTTTGGGACGTGGGTAGTACTACCCTTAAATTGTCTGATTCACAAAATTCTATGATATTACCGAACTTTGCACGAATAATAAGCACGTCTTTGAAGAAAACACGTTCAATTTAGAAAGCATCGATTGTGCAATTGATTTTCAGTGATTGATAATCTCGTAATTGTTTGATTTCAGATGAACTGAAAAAAGAACTTACATTGCTGAAAGACTTGGTTGAAAGTACCTTAAACATTGCTTATTTGATTGATGGGTCAGATGGCGATAAAGCGGATAAACTGGATCATCAAAGCCCTGTAATATCTGACGCTGCAGCGATAGCACCAGTACTTTTATCATAATCATATATTTGAACTATTCATGAATACACATGGCAGGGATAATATGGCGTCCAGACAAAGTGTGCCATGAGTGTCCTGTTGATAGTTACACATTTAAATTCAATGGACATCTTAGCGCGAGTGCTACACAACTTAGACACAAGACAATAGCACACAGGAACTAATGAATATTTATGAACAAAACTAAACTCACTCTAAATATGCATTACAGATCCGAAGAACAAACGATGTCATATTTAAACAGCGCAACATCTTAATTATTTGAACGAGAATTGTATATTAATTGTATATATTGTAAATAAATTGTATATATTGTAAATAAATTTCGAAAAATATTTAAAATGTGTTTACTGATTATCAAATTCATTTCCTAGAACCAAAGTGAACAAATCTTCCTTTGTCAGTTATATTTTGTGGACCCAACTGACAAGCAAACCTAATGTATTCGCCACCACCACCTTGAATATGTAACAACTTTAAAACACACCGTACAAGTGATGAATATTTGAAAATGTTTCTTTATGGTGTTTTGGCTTAGGTTGAAGTGTCCACTAGTGAGTAATAAGAAGGTAAAACAGATACCATCAGCTAGTTTGATTAGATGTTAAAATTTTATTGAACTCATATGCATTGAACAAAGTATGTGTTACAATACAATACAATACAAAACAGTACTCAATACAGTACAATACAATACAATCAGAGTGTCACTGATGCCACAAAGCTCAGCCTTTCCCTTATATGGGAAGTATATCAACTGGTTATTTGAGCAGATACGTTTCATTTTACCAGTATTTGTAGTACATGAATATTCTGTTTTCTAGTTCATTAAACTCCAAGAGTCCTCACATTTGTTCAGTTTCTATCTGGCCATTCTTGTTTCACACCTATATTGGCATTTCTATACAATTAACAGCATATGGTATCACCTTAATCTTGGCTTATTGCACTTCTTTCCTGTCAATACTCCATTTGAAAGTAGAACATGATTATGAATCCGGCCAGCATAGGAGCCAACCAAGAGCCACGTAATGAAGCCAGATTTTATACTAGACCAGCTGATTATATCAGCATGTTTATAAAAATAACATAATAACTTGTCCTCAATTGAAATTCGACCAGTCCTTATGACACAGCCTGCTGTGGATAAGTCCATAAAAGTGCCCAAAACATAAGCCATAATGGTAAAACACCTAATGTTGCTAGACTGAACAGCCAATTGCCATACAAGTCATTGTCTATGACAGCTATAAGGACCCCATGTTGTGCAGTCTGCCAGGTCTGGTGCAGAAGTGTTACAGGGTCACTGTATTTATCAAATAGGGAATGCTGCAGGAGACTTGCGGCAATCACCAGGAATAATGGAGAGATGAGAAGTAATAGGAATGCCTGTAGGTAGAAGCTGAGCCTGGAAATAAATCAAATTATGAAAAATAAGAGCTATTTCAAAGTTCACCATTGCGTTTTTTCAAATAAATCAAATTGTTTAATTAAACAAATAATAAATACAGATATAGTGGTTCATCATTCTTTTTTTGAAACAGTTTATAATATAATATAATATGATGTTATATTGTCATGGGGTCAATCACACTTTTAAGCTAATATAACTTGCTCGCCAAGTGCAAATTACAAGAGGTGCATGCACATCTTCAAAAGTCTATTAACTTATGCTGTTATGATTTTTAAACTATTTGGGGTATTTAATCATCAGAGAGAATGATCCCTTCTAAGGCCAGTTCCACATACCTGCTATTAGTAGGCCAGACTATGAGAGTGATGGGAGTGTATACAAGAGTGAGGAAAAATGCCAAGGAGATGTTCATGAGAGCGATGGAGAATAACACCAGGCCTTGTAACACTAGAGCTACACACTTGAGCATCTCTGGGTCTGCCCCCGATCTATCACCCATTTTCTCTGCATTTCTGAAATATAAATCAACATTATGAACACAACGCACATCCATGGATTTGCCTGCCACACCTGATCTATCACTCATTTTTTCTTCATTCAGTTTTTGTAACAATCTAGCCTTGCCCCAAGTCTGTCTCTTTTACTTATCTTGATTTCTAAATAATACAAGATCAGATAAGTAAAAAGTACCGACTTGGGGCAAGGCTAGTAACAGACATACAGTCCATCGAAGGGCAAAATATTCACCAAGTGATCAGCCTTTTCACTGACAGAAGTTCTATAAAGAAATTTATAAGTACTGTGTAACCTGAAGAAATTTCACAGTTGGTGATTTTCTACAATTAACTAACTAGAAATTCGAATGTATGCCAACATGTATGTTATACTTGTATAGCGGAGTAAAGAGTTTAAGGTCAAGCACACTTACTTCCTCAGTACTCTAGGAAACAATATTGCAGACAGGAACAATGCAGTGAGACCCATTAGGAGCCCTTCAGTTGGCTCGAGATTCAAGGCCTTCGATGTCTGCAGGAACATGTCAGGACTGAAGTATGCTGCCACACCAAATATATTGCACATTAGAAGGACAGGGAGCAGTGAGGACAGGCCTGTTGATATCTGCTTTTCAGGCCCCTAAAAGTAAACAGGACACACATCGATAAATATTGCACTTCGAGGAGTAAAATGGCTGCTATGTTATTTACATGCCCAAAACTAAATTTGAAATTGGCACTACTTTGCTCTTGCATCTGTAACAATTTCAAGTTGAATGAATAAGTGGTTTTCCTGGAATTTTGATGACAGAATTTTTTTTTAAATTTGATAAAAATACAACTACATTTAAATATAGACTTGCATTAAGAATTTTATATCAGTCTTGACTTTTACAAATACATGTCTTCAGTATTCTTATTGCCAAATGTAACAAAAATGTAAAAAGCTGAATTCCCATTTTTAAGGCAGGAAATATGAAAATAAAAAGAACAGTACATGAAGTTCAAAAATCATACTTTTATTTTATCACTTGATTCCCTGCGATCAGTGTCTCCATCCTCATCAGGCTTGGTGTCATCATCTGCACTCTCATTTTCTTCATCACCATTCTCATCTTTAGCTTTAGAGTCATCTTTAACTTTAGAGTCATTTTTAGCTTTACAGTCATCTTTAGCTTCCTGTCCTGCTGCCTTTATAGTTGAGCTGATCCACAAACTTACAGCTTGGTTATGTTAAGGTAAATATAACATAATTTTGAATTCTTAACTTAGATGAAGGATTATCAAGATATAAAGAAACATAACAGAATAAAAGGACTGTAAAACTGTTCCATTTTACAAAAGCATTCCATATATAAAGGTGTTCCACATGAAAGGTAATATTCTAGGTATTTTCCAAGGATATTTTGATGAGTGCCGCAGCTGCAAGTAGTCCAAATGGAGGCATATATAGACCAATGGAGATATATCTGTCAGTTGCGGGCATCAGGTAGAAGAAGAATGATTGGTGGAATCTTTCCAGCAGGTTGTTAAGACTACGCAATATTCCTTCAGTGACCCTGGAGAAACATACAATGTTACAATAAACAAGGCACCATTATGCAAAATGTCGCCACCTACCATTTGTTACAGATTCCAAACACAAACCTCTGAATGCAAAACAAAATCCACCAAAAATTTGAGAATATAACAATATGTCACCACTTCTGGTGATAACATGATAATAATAGCTTACACAGGGTCATAGCCTCAGTCTGAAAAATGTGAGGCAAATTCTAATAGGTGAGGCAAAAACATAAGAGACATCATTTTTGGAGTTTCAGTAAAATTTTGGTATACACACTGTATATTTGGTACACTGTATATATATTTTCAATATATCTTTTCCAAAGGAATTCTTGTTCAGTGACACAGAAGGAAGGGAAGGTTATCAGGATTTAAATATACACAGACATCTCTTTTTACCTAGTAAGAGTGTATATCTTTATCAACGTACCTCATCAAAACCATATGTACCTCATCAAACCCATATGTTACCTCATCAAATCCATGTAATGAAGATTCAAATTATGCTGGAATAAATCTATTTCTCACTCTTATGATTTACATTTAAATTATGTAACCACCCATTTACCTGCCAAGTGTAAAGAACCCATAGTTGCTTGACCTTCCTTTTGTCTTGATGCCCTGTAGTGTAACAGCCTCGATGTGGTATCTGTGGAAGAGTCCATGATTGCCTGTAGGGGTGCCAGGTGCTTGGTGCCACATCATTCTCAGCATTGTCTTCAGGGAGTGTAGGTAGCCATCAGTTGACTCAGGGTCGTAATAATCTTGCTGCGAATACAGTGCAATCTGTGTAGTGCAGCATATTTGGTACCTTAAACAGTTTTCCCTCTGGGAGACACTTTATTCAATTGTACAATGGTTGATGGTACTTTTAAAGTGTTCCACTTACAGAGGTGTTCTACCTTAAAGGTTTTACAGTATAAACATGATATGATCCACATGCAGTATTTCCTATGTTGGTACATTTAGTAACCATGTCAATGTTAATTTGAAATGGAACAAGGTGTAATGATCATGGACTCATTGATTCGATTTTGATGAGGCAATTGCCTCGCCTGCCTGATGCCTGTCTACCCAAATCTTAATTATGAATTTACACAACACCACTGCATTCCATACATACCTGCCTCTCAATGGTCACGGGGACATTCTCCCTACGGCACAGGCGTACTACAGTGTTAATGAGATCCAGGTTAGGTAGCTGGCCATTCAATCCCTGGACCTTCACATCCACATAGCTTACATCTGCCCCTGGGATCTCCAAGTTAATAGCTGCCTGAATACTACCACTTCTCCCATGTAACTCCCCAGGGCTGATATCTGGAAATAAAACACCAGGTGAGGAATGCTCATCTAATAGATACTAATAACTAATGGATAGCATGTCCATGATTCCATGTTTTACTCTAATAAAATGGCATGTGTGTGGTGATCATCTACGAAGTGAATACATGTCAATGTAATACTCTAATAGAATGTGAGCATATTTCTGGACTAGGTGAACATGGGACAAGAACCAAAAAACACATCTTGCAATCAATAGTAGAACAGACTTGCATTTCTATAACCTTAACAGCTTATATTTGTCAAATAATAAATCGAAATTATCCAGAATGTAATCAATTACATTTTAGACTGATCACCTTCTTCAGTAAACCTGAAGTATTAATAAACATTCTCTATGGAAAATATCCTCACATGAGTCATTATGTGAGTGTTTTGTATATGTCTATAGGGCTCTATAGGCCAACAGTAAAACCTGTGTTAGTGTTCCACTTGGAAGGTGTTCCACTCACAGGGGTCCATTCAATATGAAGTCACTTTGTCATGGGACTCTGAACAGTGTTCCACTTATGGAGTTGTTCCACTTTTAAGGTTTTACTGTACATGCATGCACCTTCTCTGCATATTTTATGACAGTTTGAAATATATATAAGGGTTATGTACTGGGAGGTTTAGGATATGGGGTTTATCCAGAGGGATATATGCATTTATCCCATACTTGGACGTGTTACGGGTACATAAAGCCGGTTTGTAAAAACTTATATTTTCATCAGCGGGCAGATATAGCTTTACGTCCCGCTCCGAGTGGGCAGATATAGTATATCTGCCCGCTACGTCATAATCGCTGTTCCCGTATTGGTCCTTTTTGCATTGTAACGTTCGCATACTGTAAACAACAATGGAGAAAAACGCAGACAATCGCGATCTGTTTGACAGTTTGATGCTTTAAAGAAGGAAAGGAGCAGTATGCCCCGTTAATAATCAAAGATTTGAACAGGAAAATCCGGCTACGGACAAAAATACAAAACTGGACATGAATATTTTAAAATAATTCCACGGTTTCTTGCTAAGTTTCTGAACTTTGGCCAATTGAACAATGTGATTGGTATGAGATAAACAGATCATCCTATAGTCGGTTCAGGATATTTGGATTATCCCTTGGCCAATATAATATATCTTCCCTCGGGACCTACGGCCTTCGGGCAGATATATTATATTGGCCTCGGGATAATCCCAATATCCTGAACCTCTTATAGGATAATCTCTATATCTACCTGAGGGACCGTAGGGACCGAAGGTAGATGTGCATATCTCACGAGGGATGAACCCTATATCCAAACCGACCATACATAACTGCTTTATCTTATACCAAGTTGAGTTTTCAGGGGCATATGGCCATTTCAATAGTACAAGGTGTAAAAATAAACAAATCATTCATATGCAAAGTCATTTTATTGCATTACCGGAAGCGGGAAGATATGCACCGGAAGCGGGAAGATATGCACCGAAGCGGGAGATATGGCAGGAGATATGGAGGTTCTGGATATGGAAACCTCAAAATCAAGATACGGGTTATATCTTACCAACTTATCTCCCTAAAACTATACTTGGCATAGGATAAAAAGTATTAATGCAAATTCTCACTTTCTGTTGTTCTTGTATTGTGGTATGCACTCAGCCATGCTTGCATCCCAACCCCCTCATTGTCTGTTACAATCATTATGATATCCTTTGCCCAGTAGCTGTGTCCTAAAGCAACATTCAAATATTACATAGAATTGTCGTAAGTGTAATTCAATTTCAAAAATCCTCCTGACTAATTTTGTGTAAATAGTTTTAAACTATTCAGTAATTCAGTAGATCAGCTATACTAATAATAACATTTCTGAAGAAAAATGACTTTAAAATAAGGACGTTTTCTGTGGGACATAGTTATCAAAAACTTTTAAAATGTTATTCAAGTTAGAAAAATATCAGACGGATACAATATTCAGATATTAACTCAAATATGCAGCATAATAGTAAAATTGTATTACAGTAAGAAGTACCTACTTCTAGCATATTTTGCAACTGCTAACATCAGTGCTATTCCTCCATTAGTATTGGACAGCCCTGAACCCGGGCGCCTGTAGGGGGCACTGATCACTAGGGCCTCAGTGCTCCCTGCCCTTGGGGCTCGTACAATTCCATATACATTCTGCCCAGGAAGTGCCTGAAATATAGATTGAAGAAATATAGGAATTTTTCATGAGACAGGCTCTCATTTAATTTGTTTAGATATGTGATATATATATATAATTTGGTTACTTACTTTCTGTTCGGGACTCATACTTTCAATTCCCTAATCAATAATTTGGCTTTGCATTTTAAAAGAGGCCTCTGCTTATGCTCTTTAATATTAGCCTATCTATTTATCTAGCCTACACAGTAAAAATATAATTTGTGATTAGCATCTGAATCACTGCACTAGCTTCTGGTAATTTCAAGGTATACTCACTATATTACCCGCTATACCCATAGGGTACTTAAATGTATAGTTTTGTATGTAAACATCCAAACCATTGTCTCGAAATCTGTCAGCTAGCCACTCCACAGGCATCTTCCTGGATAACAAAATAAAAAATACATTCAACAAAAAAACAGCTTAAAACTCTACATAGGTACACAAGAAAAAACAACAAAAACATAATCATGTGTTTATTACATGTATTGTTTATTCATACATGTACATGTATTTACATATAGGGCAGGAACAATATCATCCTAACTAGTTGGGAATTAAAAAAATAATTTAAATAATATAAAAAAATAATAATACATTTCAACTACACATTCATGATATATGATAATGTAACGATCACTCACTGATTAATTAATGCTTATAAAGAAAGATGTTCTTACCTTTTGTCTTTTTTTACTTCAGTTTTGAGATCGTTGAAATATCTGTCTGCATCATTACCATGACGAAATTCTGGCTCTACCAGACCTGAAAAAAGTATACAATTTAAAAGACGTTGGTATTTACTGGGTGTCTCAGAATAGAAACATTTATATGTGCATGTGTACCAAATTTGAAGCAATTATGTTTGTGTACTTCAAGTCGAAATGTGTTGCAGATTTTATTTTACATTATACCGAATGACATACATGTATGGAAATATAACAATAACTATAATATTTATCTTATTATTTTGTGCAAGCGTGTACATGGCGCAGAAATTATTCATCCTTTTGAAACCAATAAAAATAGGTTTCCAGATAAATGAATCACTCACCTGGTAATAGAGCGTTTTCCGAAAAATAAGTGCCAGCATTGAAAGGCTTATATGCTAAAGCCAGAAACCACGCTAACCCCGCCATATAGCACAGGACGCACAGTTTGTTGCCATATTTGCTGATGACTGTGATGAATCGTTCTCTCTGTTTCTCGTCGGTCAGTAATCCCATTTTGTTTGTAACTTAATGTCTGAAAAAGATGTAGTACAGAATAATTTCCATAAAACATAAATAAAGAACAAATCTATAAAAGTTTGATTTTTAACGGCACATGAAGTTTTAAGAAAATGTGCTCTAAATATTGCTCTAAATGATACAATCTTTGAAAATTTGATATCATTCATAGAAAAAGAATGAAAAAACTGATTTGAAAAGCGATCTATTTTCCTTTTTATGACCACCATTTTTGTTTCAGACAATTTTCTAAAATTTCAAAAATTGTATCAGCTAGAGCATTATATTGGGCACATTTTCTGCAAAATTCAAAAGATTCTGTTGTTCCCTAGCTCCTACTTTTAGCTATTTTTCAGTCACATTTTCAAAGGGCTGAAAAGGTTATTTCATCATGTTTAGGGTCATTCTGAACATGAACATTGTGATCCTGGACCTGTAAATGGTACGTGGAACTAGTTGAATTGACTGGAGGTCAAAACAGAACTCTGTTATCTTTTTTGTCACTTCCTGTTTCGTCATTTCCTGATAAGAATCATGGCACCTTAATTTTCGGAAAAAATTATCCGAATTCCAATGTACAGTGAGGAACATAAAGAATTACTATAGCTATGAAAAATACATGCTGGCGCAAATGTAATAAATTCTGACCTCAGTGTATTCAGTGCGCTATTTTCTCCATCCTTGTAAGTCCAAATATAGTGGAATTTGTATCCATAATGACAAATAAGAACTTCAAAAGTTGAAGTGGATTTTCACATGTTAATGCCGACTCTTCAAATGTTGAGGTGATTTTGTCGCCCGATGGCGCTGGAACGGAGGATTGACTCCCAGAATCCAACATGACACTTGCCAGCTTTAAAAATGTTGTTCCGCCATTTTGAAACCTGTAAGGATTAAATAAGGTTAACTGATGTTGCATTCTGGGAGTCAATCGTCCTTAGATAACAAACATGGCGATTCATGAAAACATCGTTCGATTTGGTAGGGATTTATCCATCATTTGCAGGTATGAAGCTTTGGATTCATTTATTGTGCTACTTTAAGTGAACGGGAATTATTTTTCTAACGATCAGGAGAGCTTTAGAAACGATACTTGAAATTTAGCTCATTGTGACAACTCTTGAACGTTGAGTTTTATTTTTGTCCCCCACTGTACATGTAATTTGACGAATTCTTCAAATATTTTTCAGATAAGCAATCCAAACTCAATCCTAGAAGATAAAATTCATCCTGATAAATTTTAGAATAGAACCGATTCACGGTCCTGGTGGTATAGATCTAATCATGACACGGCCCAACATTCTTGTTTGTATCCTTTATAGCATTATAATGCCGCTTATTGGTCATGTGTTACTGGTTATTCCCTTGTGCTTGCTCTTGATACTTATTCACTTGTTCTTTATCAAAAGTCTAAAATTCCTTATACTATTATATACATTTTTTATATGTGCACATTTAAAATCTCCTGGTTTGCCTAATGTAATTGTAAAAGGCATGAAATATTGTCCTGTTTGTTGATTGTGACAGGTTTACGTTACGTCCACTTAGAGTCTGTAGATCCAGTAGTGGATTTGTATTTTCTCCTAGGAGTATATTGTCAACTTTCGAGTAGAGCTCTTGTCTTTCCAGCTCAAAGAGACCACATGTATTAATATAGTGGTCGACAGTTTCTGGTTTATTGCAGTACTCGCAGAGATTTGATGTAATGTTTGGGTTGATTTTGGCTTGGTGGCTATTGAGTTGGGTATGTCCACTAATTAGTTGGTTGACAATACAGGATATCTTGCGATTGGAAGATTCTGGGGGGTTGCTGGATCCAATCTTTGTGATAACCTGTTATATGGCCCGAACTTTAGAGTTGGAGTATTGCCTTTGCCATTTGTTTTTAATGGATTTGTGAACTACATCATAAGCCTCACTTTTTGTAACAGAGGTTGTATTAAACTCAAGTTGTTCTGCCAAACTAGCTGCTTTTTTGCATGTTTATCTGCTAATTCATTGCCATTGATATTTACATGACCTGGGACCCAGTGACAGTTTATACATTTGTTTTGATCTTTGATCTTAACACACAATTGCCGAATCTTTTTTATCAGTTCAACATGACCCTCGGGATAACTCTGGGTGTTCAGAGATAAAAGCAGAGGTTATTGCAGGTTAGTAATCACAGAATAGCCATATATTTTGGCTGGTGTTTATTTCCTGTATGAAGTCTAGACCTAACAGCAAAGCATAAATTTCAGCTATAAAGTTGTTGCCTTTTGCTGAGATGGGTTTATTTAAACAAACTGGGTCAGCTGCAAGACCTTCCACGTAGACTATTGCTGCTGATCCATTGGGGCCCGGATTGCCAAGTGTGGATCCATCCGTGAAGACCAATGTGACATCAACTGGGACATTCAAATGATTCATTGAACATATTTGTAAATCCTCTATACGTGTGAAAATCTCAGTCAATACATTCGTAAATTTTCTGATTTTTTGCAATAAGTAATATCTATAGTTTATCTGTCATCGATGCTATATCAATCAATGATGCAGTATATACTTACATAAATACAAGCCAAAAATGTAATATTTTGGTTTTAAATTTTAAATCGGAAGTACCGCCATACTTGTGCGCAGAGAATAATGCGCATAAAATTCCTTACCACCTACCTTAATTTTACAGTCCGGCGTCAGAAATACATGGTAAATTTACATAACGTCTGTACATTTGATGTAGACGGTAAATTACAAAATGTCTGGTCTGTTTGGTAGGGCTACAAAACAAGCTCTCTTACGAGCAAATTGTACACCGTGCGTACACCAGGTGAGATAAATACAGATTTTTATACAGAGGATAATTATATGTGATATTAAAACATTTCATAAAATCGCTAATCATCTTCGAAACTTCCTAAAAACATTTGTCATGATTTTTTTCACTTTTTTTCTGAAAATAAAATCAAATTCATTTTTGAATTCAGCACGATCTCAACCAGTGTATATAATTTCATGAAATATTCGAAAGCTTACGCACATTAGTTCTTTAGCTGTTTCATATCTGTCTGTTTTGTCAAAAAGATAATGAGTGGATTTACTTACATAGATCTACACATGCATATACAGGAGTTCACATGACCTTGAACTGTGATGTACAGTGCAGATACAAATTGATTGATAAGTCGTATAGTTGGCATATTTTCTTGAATTTAATCACAGATATTGGCCAGATCGTTTTGTAGTAGGATCTCAAAGGCTCAAAGAATAATTCACAAGATACAACACTAAATTGGAAAATTTAAAAAAAAGTGACCTTTAAAAAATGTTCCTTATACAAAATGGTACCTGCTTCCCTGTGACAGATTTTGCACTTATTTTATAGCTGAGATCTTCATCTTTCTATTTCTACTTGTTTGGTCCGAGTAAATAACCTATGGATGCAGTTATTTGACTTTTAATACGGCGAATATTTATCACGAGATCCGGACTCTTGTGTGTCCAAATATCATTATACTGATGACGTCACATTTCTGGAACCACGGGAGCACCATTCAGATTTGGACAGACAAGAGTCCGGCGATAAAATATCACTGTTTTGGCCTCTTATCAACGCAGTATTGCTTGAATACCGGTCATTGGTGATAAAAAAAGTTAAAGAGTAACAAGACGCTTCGAATGAGGTCTGATTTGTCTCATCTTGAGGAATATTTATTGAGCTACTGATCCTACTACAAAAGAATCTGGCCGGGATCTATGAATTTAATGTCCCAAACTCCCTATGAAAATGCAGTAGAAGTTTTGGTTTGTGCTAGAATGGTCATTATATAATATGAAAAAAACTGACAAAAGTCGCCTATCTTGATTTCAAATATTTTCAGTTAAGCATGCAAGATCTTGTTAACATGATGATAATGCGATATAACTTGAATATTGTGATCCATAAATAAGTTATTAAAGTCAATAGATTTTTTGCATCGTGTCATTGGGGATAACACATAAGCAATTAAAATTATATAAATTGAATAAAACTGACAAATGTCACTCTTTTTGATTTATCAAATATTTTCAGTAGATCATTTCGATAGATCCTGCCACCTTATGATACATTAGAAAAATGATATTTTGGCTGAATCTATTATTTCATTTGATTTGTTTTGTTGACTTTTGTGTAAAATGTTTCATGTTTTGTTTTCAGGCGAACACTATGTCAACATTTAGAAATCTATCCAAAGCAAAAAAGATTGTGAGTATATATTATACTGTCATTTCTTGAGATACCTAGAATAAATTCTATGATATGCACTAGATATTTATATCATACAGGACTATCTTTATATATCAAGTTAAAATATCAGCTTGTTTTTGTCAAAATTCAAGAATAACGGATGACTGCTTGTGATTATATTTCTGTAATTTGAAAGGGCAGTTGATAGTATTATACTTTGTTCACATGTACTTAGTAATATCTCCAATAAATAATTTTAATAACTTTCATTAGAAAAATATGAAAATTATGCTGTCAGATATACCCTTAACCATGCACCATCTGTACCATGTTTAAAAACTTTCTCTTTTTCGCTGTAGGCCCTGGGTGCTATAGGGGCCCTAGCTGCTGGTGGTACTGGAATGGCCATAGCTCTTAACTCAACAGTGACAGCTGGAGAATTGGTTCTGCATCCCCCTAAGTTACCCTGGAGTCACAGCGGACCACTAGACTCTTTCGACCATGGCAGGTAAGAGCAAAAGTTAGAAATTTTTCTAATTCTGCTTTTTCATGTAACTACCAAGAAGTGACAACTAATTGTCCCAGCCTCTTTAACAAATGTTTCCAAAAAAGGTATTGGAAAACAGGGGCCTATCCAGTCGTCTTATCCCCTGTTTATGTATTATATTTCAGTGTCTTATTCCCTATATTTCAGTATAAGAAGAGGCTATGAGGTTTACAAACAGGTGTGCTCAGCTTGTCACAGTCTCAACTACATCAACTACCGTAATCTGGTTGGCATTTCTCACACGGAAGATGAGGCCAAGGCTGAGGCACAAGAGGTAGAATGATTTACTTTGTACACTGTAAAATTGTGGCAGGTACCTCATGTATAGTACATTCGATAGTTGTAATTTCTTTGTAGTGTATTATAATTGTAAACAAAGAGCTTATTAATGTCTGTAAAAATGAAACCTCAAGCTGCAAGAATAGGAAGTAAAACAATTATATAAAACCATGTTCATTCATTGTAGGCACTAGTCACTGATGGCCCCAATGAAGCAGGTGAAATGTTCCAAAGACCAGGCAAACTGTCAGATCCAATGCCCAACCCTTATCCAAATGAGGAGGCTGCCCGAGCTGCAAACAATGGGGCATACCCCCCTGATCTTAGTTTCATTACCTCAGCAAGACATGGGAAAGAGGTAAGAGTTAAAATTTCTGATTGTAATCAAGATTTCCCCACTGATAGCCTAGCACCCATTTGAAAACCCACTTATACCCACTTGAATGTAAGGCAAATCAGGAGATATTAGCAATATTCTAACTTGATGACTTGATTAAATTATTTTTGAAATGAGGTGTTTACCCAAGGGCCTGGAAAAACTATGTCTACCATCTTCTAACCTGTTATTTTGATGATGTACCAGCTGGAGTTAACCTTGGAGAGGGACAATACTTCAACCCATATTTCACTATAGCTCACTCATACTTTACATTAGCTAACTGTATCATTCACTATTGCAGGACTATGTCTACCATCTTCTAACCTGCTATTGCGATGATGTACCAGCTGGAGTTAACCTTGGAGAGGGACAATACTTCAATCCATATTTCCCTGGTGGAGCAATCAGTATGGCCAAGGCTTTATATAATGAGATCATTGAATACGAAGATGGTAAGTGGAAATAATAAATCTTGTGAAATACTTACTGTGCTTAAAAATAAATATTTCGCAAGTTGGGCCAAAAAATATTTCTATTTTTTTTATTGATCTAACTTTTATGTAAATCCATGGATTTCAATAAGATTTTCACAGATGATGCAGGAATCACTTTAACTATTGTTTCTGTAGTGGGGCGAATAAAACTTGGGTGTCTGAATAATAACGATAAATAGTTTCTATTTTTGCCAATACTTTTAATTTAAAAGCATATTGAAACCTTATGATGGCATGCGTAATATCTACATTGTAAAGTTTCAAATGATACTCCCTTGTATGTATGAAAAGTGTGATATGTATACTCGGTGTTTATTAAATGTCTAACAAATAAGAAATGTTGACTGACTCATGACGCATGCCATTCAAGTTGTCTACTTGAACAATGGAATAAAATGTGTATCCTTTTTGTGATAACATGAGTACTGTTATGGGTGTTGTCCAAAAAGGATATGATATTACACAGACTGAAGTTGTAGTTACCAATGGAACATATGACTACCTTTCAGAAATTTGAAATTTTTAATTCCTGTGGTTTATTTATAAAGGATTTCTTGCTTTCCCTAGTGTGCATTTGTACACTACTATTTACTACTACTTACTCAGATTGACATTACAACTGTTCAAGCTACCAACCTAAATCTATGAATCTTCCAATCTATGAATGTTGAATTAATATTCATCAATGTATGATTCTAGGAACCCCAGCAACAACACCGCAGCTCGCCAAAGATGTGTGTACTTTCCTTAAATGGTGTGCTGAGCCAGAACACGATAGGAGGAAGAAATTGGGCATTAAGGTACTGTATTTCCCTGTTGCATACAGAAAAATGCGTACATGGAGTTTTAGATATAGATAAAGCATTGTCTCTGTTTGTAACTGAAATTTGTCCAAAATGAACCATTAGCTCATGTTTGATAAATACTGATTTGTATGGACACTTGTATTTCATTTATTTAAACTTTTCAAGTATATCATTATCATAGCTGGTTTTATTCAATTGTTTCCAAAGACAGCTTTTCAAATAGCTCCAGATGTACATATCTTGGATTTGAGGTTAGGTGTGTTAGGGCCAGCAGCCAGATTGATGGAACAGGTTTTTGAAAGGCTGTAAAATCAAGGCTACAGACAAAAACTTTCTGAACTGATTGCTACCAACTAAAATTACATGTACATTTATATAAAAAGCAAATTATTTTAATCTTTCATTAGTTGCAGAAAATAGATAAATGAAATTATTTTGGGTCACCCTGTATTTGATGTCTGTTCTAGAACAGATGTAGGTGATATTAGAAAAAATACTATTTTTCTATCAATAAAGTACCCATGGTCCATATAGTGAAAGCTCTATTTTGGAAAGTCTGGTAGAATATCTGCAATTAAATGTGTGTTTTCTCTGCTTTCAGTGTATCATGCTGTTTAGTATGCTGTCGGTTGCTATTTACTACATGAAACGTCACAAGTTCACAGTCATCAAAAGTAGAAAAATTGAATACAGACCACGGAAGTAACGCTAAGCATATTAGGAGAATTTTCATCATCAGAACACACAAAAGAGAAGTTTATGTCAACTGACTGTTTTACGTTAAACACAGACTCTTTACTTTGTGGTTGAAGTTTTTAGATTATATTTATGAATGGATTTGTGGTGAATGGATCAGTGGCACTTACTCAAGTAACTCTAGAATCTATATTAATATTATATTATATAACGCATTAGAAATTTGGATACTGCTTCTGTGATTCAAACTTAAATAAGTATATCTTACTGAAAAATTCCTACAAGGTAGTTGATTTACAGTTCTTATTGAATGACAAACCCAAATGATGTCTTATAAGCTTTCTTACGATACCCAACATTTCAGGTAAAATTCCAATGTTTTTATCATTTCAATTTAGTAAAGTTCAATTCTGGTCAAGTCATTGGTTGATATTGTATATATACACTCAGTGCCCTACATGCCCTAAAATAAGTTATTTTACCAAACTGGACATCTAGCTGGTACATGTTGTATGTACATTGTACATATGAATAAAATATCAACTTTGTTAATCATAAAATATCAATTGTTACTGTTTATTATCTCACAGACTTTATAGGCTCCACTTAGAGCATGTTCAAGTAAATTCTTTGGGGTCAACTTTTTTTGTCATTTGTCTTACCCTTTAAATGTCTGGAGAGTCGATTGGTGTTCATAGATACCCAGCTAAGGGATCAGGTTCTTCAAACATTGTTAAGTTACATATCTACAAATCAGTTATTCTATGCATCATTCTAAGGTTTATGAAGCCCCTATGTGGAAATGGGGTGGGGGTTTTGACAAAGTAAAAATTGGGTTTTCAAATTCAGTGGCCTGGGAACAACCAAGTGAAACAGTTTTCCACTCTGGGGGAAGAATGGTCTAATATATTCCAATTTGAGACAGATATTCCAATTATGCATTTTTCAAATCCCTACTCCCTGGACAAAGTATCCTGTGAATTCCAACCTCGAAAACAATACTGCATGTTGAATTCCCAAACATTGATATGTGGTGTGGTATCAAGCAAGTGTTTAAATTAGAGGAGCATTTAAAAAGACAAAATAACAGATCTTCAAGACTTTATTATGTTTCAAGAATGAACTTCCTGATCTGGTTTCAGAAAAGATGTTGCAAAAGTCCAACAAAATCCACTTTTAGTTCTGGCTGCCATCTTTTTATGGAAGACCACATTGGAAACTACATAGTTTTCTGAGCCTATCCGATTCCTTCAAAGTATGACCTTCATATATCCCCAACTATGTGGAAACAAAATACTTGTTTTTCAAATAGGTCTGCATAACATTAACACGACCTATTAGACAGGAAGTTAGAGCAGTCCTCAATAGTGACTTACCAGTGCTATCTATTTAAGACATTAACCACATTTAAGGAGTGCTATTCCTAGTCTTCAAATCTATGTGCAGAAACTGCTAAGCATTAGGGCTGGTACGGAACAGAATTATTGTCCGAACACTATTTCAAATATCATACAAATTGCTTTAGTTTTAATAGTTGATATGTTTTTTATTTCAGTAAAACAAAGCGTGTGGTACAAATAACATTATTGTATAGAATTTCCTAGTAAGCCAATGATTACTACATTCATTTTACATAACAATAACAATTATAGTCAACAAACTAGATTTTGCATGTTGCATTGTGTTCAATGGTGTCAATAGATGGCATAATAGTCAATGGGTTCATTGATTGGATAAATCATGTAAATGTTTTAAAGTCCGCAAATTATAATACATGGATCATGTAAAAGCAATTATATGATTTTCCTTCATATAAAACAGAATAAGAACAAGACTCACAGTGATAAATATCACACTTATTTGATCAAAAAATTCAAAATGGCTGTAATTTACAAAACCTAATCAGGTTTGTCTGCTCTTGCATCTGTAAAAATTTCAATTTGAACAGAAATATTGAGGAAAAGATTTGATTGAAGTTGCACAGGTCCATACGCCAAGACAGACAGACAGATGCATGCATAACCATCAGCACAAAACAAAGATAATTTAGCACAAAAAGTGCCAAAAATGTATATTGTTTGAATAATGTTATGTATTTTAGGTTTTAAAGGAGTAAAATATTTAATATTATTCAACACAACAGGAAGTAACAAACAACTGTTCTGCCATCTATTTGATGCCAGTCATATTAAATCTAACAATCTAATGGCAGAAACATACCTTGAATGTTTTAAAAGCACATGGGTGCAAGATATCAAATTGCAAGGAAGACATTGGGTGTATAGACAAATAAAGTATAAATTGTGCTTCCTAATGAGACAACAATGTTGGAATAAAATTAATCAAATTGTTTACAAGCATAATATTGCCTGTATATAAATCTACATCATAAACATTTTTACCGATATTAATCAATTGGGAAAATTAATAAATTCAAAAATGTAACATGAAAGAAACAAACAAAGAACAAGGTACAAGTTGCGAGATCCTAACTTATTGAATAAATTGTAGTTAACCTATACAGTCTAAATCAAAACAATATCTACATTTTCAAAAGGTATCAAGTAACACTCAATACAAGCGAGACATGAAGAATCTGTGAAATGAACGATTCGCTAAAAAAAGGATCACATACAAGATTTCATAAATGGTTGATCAATAATGCCAAAACTGCCATTGAGTCCATATGATAATAAAAAGAAACATTTTCCAATTACCTTGCTAATTTTTGGAAAGGTTGATCTGATTCTGCCTTACAGAGTCAAGTAAATTACATGTACAAAATTGCAATATTCTTGAAAGCATTTTATATTTTCTACATTAAAACCTGTATATCTGAACACCTCTCTTATCTGAATGTGAACACTTTCTTAGTTCCAGTTTTATTACCTCCCATTGACTCATGTATAAAACCTTGAAATTTGGACACCTGTTAATCCATACACTTTTGACAGATCCCAGCTTTCATTCAGATTAGACAGATTTTACTGTACATGTACCTCTAAACTAAAATTACCAGTTAAATAGGCATGACATCCACATGTACCCCACTAAATATTATTTTTGACTTTATTCTTTGAGGACCCATTTTATCCTGAATATCACGGTATTATAACATTTGGTGCATTTGAGTTAAATTGCATAATAGAGGCCAACATCAAACCTGTTCATCCATATACCTAGTAGGTGGCGCTCTTGTTATTCTAATCTCTGGGGATCTAGGGGGCGCCACAGGTTTGGGCTTAGGTTTATTGTGTCCCATTTTAGGCGAAGCTAGTGTGAAATGGTCTGCGAGGACGATATCAGGCCGAGGACTGGGACTTTTCTCTCGAGCTGATCGTCCAGAGTTACCTATGGTATGATTACTGAGATTACTAGTTGGTTTATAATCCGAGTTAGGAATTATAGTGTTGCTTGGATCTGCATTATATTTGCCTTTGCTATTCTGATTGTTTACTTGAGGAAGTCTAGTGATGAGTTCGGGGGCAACTGGGCAATTAACAGGTTTGGGTTTATTCCCTTTCTGCTTATAGCTCTCCTCTCTTGATGGAGTCGCCCTGTTGCTTTTAGGTGTGCCTGCTTTGGGTGTTATTGGCTTAGAATTAGACCTGGGTAGTGTTGAGCTTAAGGGTTTACTAGCAGATGCAATTCCACTAATTCCTATATCATCACTGTCGTTGTCATGTCCTATGCACTTTGTCTCATATCCTTTAATAATATCATGAGGATCATTGAAATCATGCACAGTAAAGCTTTGTGAATGGCGATGGTTTTCACGCTCTGGGGAAACTTGAGCAACACCATTTTCCTGGTTGTCATGGTAACTAAGACGTTTTGCTGCATCTTCACTCATGGACCTGTCCAGTTTAGGTGTGCCCTTCTTGGTACGCTTACCCTTTGGGGTGTTTGGGGCACTTGGGTTATGAATACTGGGATTAGATTTACTACCATGTATATCTCCTTCTGTTTTTGAAGTTCTTAAGATTCCCTTTCCTTTTGTACCCTGGTTACGTTTGAGGGATGATTCATTACCATGGTTACGCTTCAATGAGCCCTCGTAACCAGGGTAATGCACTGCTGCAGCCCCAGAGACAGATGGTCCTGGAGTGGAAGCAGCCAATGGATAATCATAAAGCACTGTAGCCTCAATATCAGTCTTTGTTTTATGGTTACTATGGTTCCCATGGTAACCAACCTCCCTCTCTTCAATATCACTTTTGACACTATGGCGACCATTTGGCCTATTACCAACATGGTTTCCGATGTTATTCCCCATTGGTAACTGAGGTGACTGATTCAGCAAGGCATCCATCTCTAATTGGTTACGAAGTTCATTGATATGTAATCTCCGTTTACGCTCTCGGTCTCTGCTTCGTTGATGGCACGTCACGATAAGAGCCACAAGAACTATTGTAAAGAGGGCACCACCAACACAGCCCAGGATTACAGCATGATATTCTACTGCTATACCAGCAGTACTAGGCTCTGAAATAAATAATATGACATATTATCTACTGTAATTTACAGGGTGCCCCAAATTTATTATGTATTAAAGACTGTTATTAATATTTCCAGTATTGCTTGTAAACCACTGGAAAGATGATTCAATTTCAAAAACTAAAATATCCCTTTTTCAAAAACAGGAAAGTATTTGTGAGTATTATATTACTGAGTAACTATATATCCATAATATCGATAAACTATCCACTTTTAGATTCTTAATAATATTAGTATCCAATTTCATTTTCCCCATATCCAAACCTACATTATGGTTAAATCGGTGAACTATAACATGGGACAGATAGATAAAGGGGCAACAAAAGACCGAGAAAACTTGAATAATATATTTTGAAAAAATGTCACAACTTTTTTATTCTGACGACATTACTTTGTACTATCTTATAATTTAATTGATTTTCAATCTGGAATTGCTTTCATTTTTTGGTATCTTAGCAATTAGCATATATGATCAACATTTTACACTCTCTTCATCTTTTGCTGCCACTTTAACACCTACATAATAGTCAAAGAATACCCCATGTGCCTATTATTAAAAGATGTATCACATTATGTATTTCTATGTACAGTAGGAAGTTGGTGGAATGAAGTAATTGTATATTAAATTGAAAATAAGGAGGTATGTTGACAAAAGTATAAAAGTTTGTATGAAGTATAACATATTTAAATATACAATTATTGGGTGAGAATGTATCTAGGGTGTTCAATGTTTTCTAATAATAATACTTTTTTAAGAGAAAATAATAAGCTTGTCTTAGAAAAAATATACAACATTAAATTTAATATAAAAATGCTTTCCAAATATGGATTGAACTAATACCAATGGGCAGCTATTAATCTATTATCACTGAAAGTTGCACTCTTGTATGTAACATGTCAACTTTAAAATATTATTATGAAAACTTATTGAACACCCAGTGTTTGTAGTGGTTAATATAATTCTGAGTTCATTAGACATTTTAAGGGTATTTTAAGGAAATGTATCATAGTGTTAGGGAATGTTTAGATTGTTTATCATACCTGGTGTTGTACTGAAACCTGAATCATATAAATAAAACTAATATCATTGAAAATCCAATAGAGGCTCATGTAAGCTACATTGGAAACCATTAAGATCTTTTAAGCTCCAAAGTGCTAAAATCATCCGTAACTCTCACACTATAGATGGGGACTATGGCTTCATATTGGGCATGATCAGTGGACATTGAACCAATTCTTAAACTCATTAACTTATCAATGTGAACCTTTCAATGAAAAAAACATGTATAATGTATGTGAATTACTGTGAAATTGAAACATTTGACATACCATCTGTGGCCCTCATGCAGGCAGTCTCCTCCAGTGTGTCAGGATCAGGACAGTTGAGGCGATCATTACACTTGAGGCTATTATTGAAACACACATTCACTCCGCAGAGGAACTGGTCTTCTTTGCAAGGTGCTGTAACATAAAGGTTAACATGATTACTTTTCTCGATGCAAGAGAAGATACAAATTACAATATGAAAGGAAGTGAGCTTTGCCACTTTCATTTATTCTCATAGTGCTACGAACATCATGCAATATACATGAAGTACATACATTGGTGATAATGGTTCAATAATGTTTTCTAAAATGAGTACTTTTGACAAAATCTGCTAATTACATGAAAGAAAGAAAGGAATCATTTATTTGCTAATTCAATCACAGATAAATGTAAATTATTTTCCTCATACAGTCTAAAATCTGTGTATAGTGACAAGGCCTTCGCAGAAGTTCTTAAAACTGCCAAAATGAATGGAAGTAATATTAAGAAATTATAATGTGAACATGGAAATACAACAGCTGCAAAATGCATCAAACCAGAAGGTGATGTTGCTAAAATACAACTTGAGAAAATCATCCATTATTTTCCAAGAAATGGTGTTCACTTGGATCAAGTATTCACCCAATAACATTCAGAATGGATAAGGATGGGGTAGTAAATAGATCAGGCAAAAAAAATATACAAATATATTTACCATAACTAAATGTTGAATATAGAACCTTAAACGTTGGCTCAATAAGCTTATTCTTGGCAAACATGCGGAGATACACCACATTGCTGCGTGATTTAAAAGGCTTAGGCTGTCCCCCACATATGGACTCCCCTTTGTGGCTCTCAGAGGTGGAACTGTCATATACTGCCAAGTAACTGTCCCCACAAATGCCCGCACTGGATTTGTACTCGACAAAGTCTAGATGCACCTGCAACAAGAATGTTTGTATACTGTAAAAGCCCAAATTGCTGAATCATACCAAGGAGGTGTTTTTTCCAAATCTTTGCATGATCGCGCAGCGGGAATGCAAACTTTAGGAAACAATGCCTGAGTGGAATGTGAAGCAGCTACAATGCATTGAGTCTTGGGCTTAAATTCTTTTCACACATTGCAAAATATTTCTACAAAATCATCTCCATTATTTCATGTAATTTTTCTTTTGAGATGACAGTTTTCTCCATATAGAGTCCAATGTCATCGAATAACTGAATATTTCACAGGAGATTGAATAATTATTCAATGGTGGACAAGATAAGGCCAATAACATAGGCCATAACAGAGCCACAAGTAGAGCCCCTCAATGTACATAGTCATGACAAGGAATGGGTACTACTTCTGGTGCTACTAATTCAAAACTGGAATGGGTACTACCTCTGTAACTCTTCATCACTCACTTTATTCCCTGGGGCAACATGGAACTCCCATGTACAGTCCAGGGGGGTGTAAAAATTGTCAGTCTTTTTCCTGATTACATTAGAAATGTCATCATTTGATACAAAGCCATCAGAGAACCTAGCTGTGTTGATTTCAATGCGGCAAACTGGAAACAAAAAAATGTTCAATCAAAAAGGTGGATGCATAATATCAAGTACATTTTGTTGGTATAATTATGAACCATTTACAACAATATGAAATTATGAATATTTAGAAAGTGGATGGATGGCAATTTTAATACACCTTCTTTCACAATTTTGACTTCTTAAATCATAATGAACTTTTTTAAATATTCAAAGTTTTGAGTATGGTATTTAGAATATAATTCATCAAACTAGATACAAAATTATTTCATTTATGTGCTACCCAAATATTTATGTGCATTTGTGCAGTTACAGAAGTCAGGGTGTAATAGTGACACATATGCAAAATACACCAATGTATATTTTTCATTCAATGTGAAAATATATTGGTTGCCCATTTATACACAAGTTTAAACAACACAGAGCTCTCGCTATGCTTTTAGACTGTGGTGCAGCACCACAGTCTATTAAGCTCCCACCACAACCTATTGGCAAATCATGATTGTTTCCACAATCTAAAATTGATTAAATACACAATAATAGCATGTAAAGGGATAAAATATAACAACATAAAAACTATTTATGATATCATGAATGAACGGTTATGGTGAAGATCTTTCCACCACACCCTAAATATTTCCTGGTGGGAGCCCTGGGACAAAACAACAAAATCTACAAAACACAAAGTTAACTATTCTACAAAACAATGATTTGACAGAATATATACTTAGTAGATAACAATATAAATTATATCTTCTACGGGATTTCAAATGGGATATGAGATATTCTCCAAAGTGCGTTGAACTTAATCAGGAGCTTAAAACATGTTTATAACGTACAAGACACAACAATGGAGGAGGAACATTGAACATACATAAGCATAGACAGTTATCATCTAACAATAGACATTTTATATTTTGAAAGCAATGGGCAACAATAATTCTTTCTAAACCTGATACACAATATATCCCTATGCAAAAGTTTTCCCCTCTCCCCTTCCCATTATTGGCAAAGTGTGAGATTTGGAGTTTAAAGGTGATGTAAAAACTTGATAAATGATTTGATGAAGGAGTTCTAAACTACAAACCTGAATCATCTATTACTGTAGGTGAAACGCAAAAACAATACAAACAAATGGTAAAAATGTTATAATAGAAATGGAATTCAGTCTTGCATCTGTGCTTTCATGGGTAATCATCATTACCATTAGGGAAAGTATTTTTTGGTTTCAGAGAGTTGCAATGCATTTGCCAGTATCAACATTTGTCTTCCAAAGGAAAAGCATCTCAGCTAGACATCCTTAAGGAGAAACTGTAGACTCCTTAAGGAAAATCTGTCAGCCATGTTTTATAAAATGGAATTTGTTTTTGAATGATGCATAGATACAAGCCTGACTTCACTGTTATGGTTAAGGTATTGAATTAAGGTATTAGAGAGGTTAAGCAACACCACTTTTTACAACGTAAACCGCGAGCGGGAAGGCGCGCGCAGGTTTTTCTCAAGATATGACGTCATATTGTTCTACTTATTTCCCGGTTTACGTACATCCAAACGTGAAAAATCAAAGTCTAGGTAGGTCGTTCCGTAAAGGATTTTTCATACTTTATCAAGTTCGATTGAGATAAATATGATATAGGTCGAATACATAAATATGTTTGACACAAATCTGTGTATATATCGAGATCATTTGTGTCCAATCTAATCAAATATAACTTGAATATTGAGGCACCCATTCCATATGTAAAATCTGATGAGATTACATGCAATTGAAATTACCCACATGTCAACTCATCCTAATTCTTTATACATATTGTGACACCATAGTAATAAAACTATGAATGCCTTGAAGACTTGCTTAAAAGATATTATTGCGTCCACTTGTATTTTGTAAGATTCAAGATGTCATAGAACACTACCAGGGTGTGAAACATCTCCTTTGTCGACAAAGTAATCTTTTTATGCTTTTAAAGTAGAAAATAAAACGAAACGCCGCTAAGAAAAAGAAAAAAATCATTTTGAGGTTTGCGTTTGCGTTACGTCTAAAGTGCTCAGCTTAAAGCACGTTTGTTCATAGTACGTATACGGGAACGTAAAGGTTTACGTTTGCGGTTCGCGTCATAAAAAATCGTCTTGCTTAACCTCTCTATTGTGTTAAGGTATTGAATTAAGGTATTATATTACTGCTAATGTTATTGAGTTATCAATGGTATGCCATCTATGTAAACTATGTACTGATTAAGGAAATAAATCCAGTACAGAAATGTAAAATCAAAGCTTAAGGTAGGACAAGTGGAACAAATCTGGTGTTGTTAACTTCAACCAATTTTGCATTAAGGCTTGTAAACTGGCATCATATCCACATAAATTTGTAAAATCAAAGCTTAAGGTAGGACAAGTGGAACATACAGGGTGTTCAAAAAAAACGCAACCCAAAGAAATTGCTATAACTTAGAAAATACTAATCCAATTGTGTTCATTTTTTCAGGAAAGAAAGAAGAGACTTTGTATGGATAGCCCCTGTTGTTAGTTAGTTGTAAAACATGATGCCTTGGACACCTGCTCAAAATACATTAGTATTGGAAACATACGAAAAACGCAGTAAGAGGTGACTGCCACAGCAATAAAACAGAATAACTTTCTAACCATAGTGTTTTGGCACTTCAGATTTGGCACAAATTATCCTCATTCAATGTGTGGTGAATTTGTGGAGTTTCATAAAAATCACTCCAGGGACTTTACAGTCGTGGTCAAATTGCCTTCTTAAGTCTGCCTGAACCAGGGCGTTTGGCTGCGATTTGAAAGCATTTCGACCATAACTGTAAAGTCCCTTGAGTGGTTTTGATTTCACTCAACAGATTTACCATACATTGAATGAAGATGATTTGTGCCAAATTTGGAGAGTCAAAACACTATGGTTATGAAGTTATTTGTTTTTTTTGTGGTTGCAGTCACCCCTGACTAGGGTTTTTCATATTTTTCTAGTTCAACTGTCTTTTGAGCAGGTGTTCAAGGCATCATGTTTTACAACTAACTAACAACAGGAGCTATCCATACACAGTCTCTTCTTTCTTTCCTGAAAAAATGAACATAATTGAATTAGTATTTTCCAAGATATAGCGATTTCTTTGGGTTGCGTTTTTTTGTGAACACCCTGTATCTGGTATTGTTAACTTCAACCAATTTTACATTAAGGCTTGTAAACTGACATCATATCCAACATAAATTTGTTTCACTGTGCCTTCCTTAATTTAAAAATCTATGGAGTCTTTTAGTTCAATTAAATGCAGGTAGTATCCAAGAGATTGATATATACACCATACTACATGTAATATAAAAATTTGACAGTATGGGTACCTTTAATAAAGCAGGGATAAATTGCATTGTAATGAAACATTTTGACAAAAAGCATTAAATTATAACGAAGAGTTTTGTGCCTGCTGTGTAACACTTCAATTATCCTTCGTTAGGAAGCTTTTTGTCAAGACACTTTCTGTGCAACCATAAAAGTGTAGCATATAGTACCATAATGTACTTAATCCCTTAGATACTATCCATGAATACAGGTCCCAGCATTCTTTTGCAATCATCTTTTGACTGGCATGAACCAATTTGGTAAATACATGTAATACCATAATGTTCATCTCCACACAAAGCAGGGAACAGTCAAAAGAAGACCCTGACGGAATGCTGGGAGCTAATCCTCCTTTGGTATGTTAAACTATGGTAGTAGGATTCATCTATACAAAGCATTTGGGAATTCTTACATGATCAGTTCTATAGTATTCTGGTATAAACATATTTGAACAGACAAAACATTATACTAAACGCAGGTAAGATAACTGCAAGGGACTTATCAACATCTCTAAGTTATTTACTGTGAAAATAATGCCAGATCATTATTTTCTTTAGATTTAGGCATTACAGAGCCAACATTACTAAGGAATTTTGGAGTGGAGCTGCTTTGTTGCATATACTTGAATATGCATATATTACTAGGTTGAATTTGAGTTCAATCTGACCAGGTCAGAGCTCTTCTATAGTGACATAGTATCACCAAAGTAAATGGCCTGGCAGGCCTGTAGTTTGTAAATCCAAAGTAAATGGCAGGCATTACTATTTTATAAATCAAGTTTTCAGTTCTTTCAGTATTTTGACTTACTTGTAAAGTTCAAAGACATGTCCTTCACAGCACCTTAAACAGAAACCATTCATTTACATACAAGGTGTAGGTGGAACACCCTTGGTACAACAAAAAATGTTCCACTCACATAGGTTCATTAACATGGAGTCAATGGACTGCAGGACTGTTCCACTTCTGTATTTGTTAAAGATATTTTATTTACATAATTTTTAATTTGGGGAATTTAAAAATAATGTTTTTTATTAATTCTTTTATAACTATCATGGCATAAAAAGATCATCCATCGGTCTGAATTGTATATTAGGTTTATCCTTCGGGATGATATATCATCTCATTCCTCTAAATAAACCCAATATACAATCCCTTCCTAGGTACAGCCTCTATAAACAATACCCATGTTTACATCTAATAGTTTCTATATTTACAAAATAAAACTCAAAAGGCATGAAATTTTCTAAAGACACATACCTTCAACATTGGGGTCTCGCACAAAGTCATATACCGCTTTAAAGCCACTATATTCTATGGTAGCATCTGACATAAATTGTATCCAGAGATAGCGGGATGTTGACGTCAACAGTGGAGGATGTGTCCGACCACAGTACACACCTAATATATTCAAATGATGGATTTAAAATTTGAAAAATCTAATTGCTAATTAAAAATTATAATTTCTGGAACTAGAAATCATGTTAACTTGTACCATTCAGATTTGAGTAAGTATATATTACAACTTTCAATCTGTAAAGACCATATACTTTAAAGTTTGAGTACTCCTATTAAAGTGACCATAGAACTTCTTGTACCTTTAAGATTTGAGTAATCCCAATTATTACCTTTAAGATTTGAGTATCCCCAAATATTACCTTTAAGATTTGAGTAACCATATGGGCCATCCCTGATCTCCAAGTAGTCGTAGTCACAATCCTGAGAGTTTTCTGGAGACTCAATATGGAATTTATCACGAAAGTCCAGCTGGACAACATAGCCTTTGGGAGCTGTAAATCATATAAATATGAATTATGGGTCAATCAGATTCTTGTGGCTCACTCTATTGATCAATCTTGCTCTATTATTCAAAATATAACAGGATCTTAACAGACATTGAAATTGTAATCTCATCATTTCTTTGACTTGACTTGAATATGCAAAATAAAATGATTGATACATAAAAATAAATTGAAGTTATCTGAATACATGTACAATATCTTAAAGTAATGTAACTGATATTAGATAGACAAATATCGATGATTTGAAAGGTCAGTTTCTAAATGTTTGAATTGAGAAATGTGATAATAGAAATGACCAATATCAGACAAAATCTATTTTTTGACTGTCTTAACAGATATAAGATCAGTTTGACCTTGAAGATTTAACATTGTCATTACTTTCACTTCCATATATGGAAGGTGCAAAACTAGAACTGTCAATCAAGTCTTGAACTGGATTCGAACATGACTGTGTATTCATGTCTTCTGTTAACTGTGAACAAAGTCAATATTTCACCAGGTATTTATTCATCAATACAATACCTGGTCTGTACTAAACGTTTCAGTGCAAGCCAGAAGTAGGAAATGAAGTGATAATTTTGCAAAATTGGTCTATATTTCTTAAGTACAATATTTTATAACTTGATTTTCTGCTGCAAATTATAGGAACCTAAAGACAGTAGCTTCTTTTATTCTGAGTGGGAGGTCTTAAAAAATTAATTGAATTCTTTGTAAGACCTAATAGCCATAAAATAGTACATCAACAAGTATATTAGGCCTATAAACCGCAACTCAGCCAATTAAGACAAATTGCAATGTTGAAGATACAATATCCTTCACAAAACATCCTACATGCTCAATTGTTTCTTGTGTCAATATGATACAAAACGTGAGAAATTAAAAATATGTTAAGCAATTATTCATTCATTAAAATAATTAGGTAGAAATAATGAAGAGGTATCTGATATCCAGGAAGAAAAAGTGTTGAATTTGCATAATTTCTGTGGAATGTTTAAGGACAGGATATCATGCAAGGAAATAGTTTCTAACCCTCCCCGGGGTAATTTGTACGGAGCAAAGTGTCGCCACGAGAGATCAGGCTGAGCTTTGCTAGTTTATTGCTCTGTCAAATAACGCTTCTCTCATCACGCTTATTCCATTGGATTTCTCAGTTCAATTCAAACAAACATATGGATTTGATTAAGTAGATTCTGAATCACAATTACTTTTTGTAGTATTTTTGATTATGCAAATTAAGCTTCATTTTATCTGATGCATTTTAGCACGGCGTCTTTGATGATTTATTTATAGGATATAATAAAGTAATAATGCTTGTCAATATATGTTTGTGAAGATTCTACAGTATCAGATAAAATTGCCTTTATTGAAGTAAAGTAGATCTAATTTTGCCTCTATGTTTTTCTATGTAATTCAACCAGCCTACACCTCAACTTTATATTCACTTACATACAACGAACATTTGCATCGAGACGATTCTAAGAATTTGGACAAAACTCACAGAATTAAGAAGACATTGCATTAGAGAACTAGATATATCACTGGGGTGATTTCGTAGAATGCCAGTCCTCGCCACCGCAGCAGCAAATTCTGTGCAAGACTCCCCCAAATATCTTTGGTGTATATGAGTGAAAAACTTAAATATATTTTGAATAATTAAATTACACCTAGACATAGTTCTTATCATGCAGTACTGAAAGAATTACATCTAAATCTAAATCATTTGAGAAACCTGAAACTTAATCAGCCTTTTTTAATGTTGGCCATTTTGAAATAAGCAGTCATATTAGAGATTTCTTCTCAAGCAGAGGTCCTTTTCTCTATCTATTCTCTATCACAACACATTAGGTAAAGGACGATTCTCGGTTTGGAGAACAGTCTCCTGGGCTGATAATTTTTTTTATGAAAAATATAGAAATATTACCCAACTTAAACTATGAATATTTAAAAGAGGACATTTAAATCTACAAGATGTAAAAATAACAAATTTGTCTGAAGCAGGGATAACGCTCAATTAGACCGATTCAATAAAATACAAGTCTCGATTTGGGGAAAGAAGTTCATCAGTGTACTGCGCTAATATTTTTTTGCAAAAAATCTAGAAATATTACCCAAATTAAATTATGACTTTTCAAAAGAAGACATTCAAATCTATATTATGTAAAAATATCAAATTTGTCCGAAGCAGGGATAATGCTCATTTAGATTGATGAACTTCGTTCTCCAAACCGAGAATCGTCCTTTGAACAAAATCGGTTATGAAGTCATTATGGATAAAACACAATCATCAAAGAAATACACAAACAATACATACCGATTAAAACCTGCATACATTCTGTGTTATTGGGATAATCCTTAGGATACCCAGGACTGTAGAAGACACGACTTTTAGGATTGCCATATGTAAAATTCCAGCAGTTTTTTGGGACATTGTCGTATATCAAAGGGGGTAGAATGGCTCCTCCTGGACTTGGGGGGTCATCACCTGAAACACATAGAACACTTAAAATGCAACTTTTGTTTTCATCTTTTATAGAGAATTTATAAAATATAGGCATCTACAGGTCATATTTCACATAGAATACTTCAATTGTAACCTTTGATTGATCACTTACATATGGGACACTTCAATTATAGCCTTAGCTGATTTTTCACAAAGAACACTTCAATTATAGCCTTAGCTGATTTTTCACAAAGAACACTTCAATTATAGCCTTAGCTGATTTTTCACAAAGAACACTTCAATTGTAACCTTTGATTGATCACTTACATATGGGACACTTCAATTATAGCCTTAGCTGATTTTTCACAAAGAACACTTCAATTATAGCCTTAGCTGATTTTTCACAAAGAACACTTCAATTATAGCCTTAGCTGATTTTTCACAAAGAACACTTCAATTATTGCCTTAGCTGATTTTTCACAAAGAACACTTCAATTATAGCCTTAGCTGATTTTTCACAAAGAACACTTCAATTATAGCCTTAGCTGATTTTTCACAAAGAACACTTCAATTATTGCCTTAGCTGATTTTTCACAAAGAACACTTCAATTATAGCCTTAGCTGATTTTTCACAAAGAACACTTCAATTATTGCCTTAGCTGATTTTTCACAAAGAACACTTCAATTATAGCCTTAGCTGATTTTTCACAAAGAACACTTCAATTATAGCCTTAGCTGATTTTTCACAAAGAACACTTCAATTATAGCCTTAGCTGATTTTTCACAAAGAACACTTCAATTATAGCCTTAGCTGATTTTTCACAAAGAACACTTCAATTATTGCCTTAGCTGATTTTTCACAAAGAACACTTCAATTATTGCCTTAGCTGATTTTTCACAAAGAACACTTCAATTATTGCCTTGCTAATTTTCGCATAAAATAATTAAAAAGCCTTGCTAATTTTTCACATGCAATATGTCAAATATATGGCCTTCAATGGACCATCATTCACATAGAATAGTTCAAATGTACTTTAGTTGACCAACTTTCATACAGAACACTTCAAATAACATTTGTTACATGGACTTCCTCATCTGTATGTCTTACACTTCAGAGTCTGACTCAAGAGCAAAGGTCCCACATAAGGAATCATTATAAGCCCCCTAAATATGATTATTATCAAATCTATTACTCTATAAATTATGCTGTTATGTTTCCCAAGAGGGGTTAATGTATTGTTTTGTGTAAAAATATTAACCTTAAAATAACTGAATGATTGAGGGAGCAATCTGAGATTCCATCTACAGTAAAACCTGTCTTTTTTGAACACCTCTACGAGTCTACGAGCAACCAAAAGTGTTCAGATTAGCAGGTGTTCACATTTCTAGATTTTATTAACATGTAAGTCAATGGGAGATTACAAATTTGAGACAGAGAAAAGGTGTTCATTTAAGAGGGTGTTCAGATATACAGGTTTTACTGTATACTCATATACTTGTACTTAGTCTAGCTCCAAGCCCTTGCCCCCCCCCCCCCCCCCTACATACCTCCCCTCTGTGTGAGGAGGTGTTTAGTCAAGTAGGGGGGGGGGTCACAGGGTCTTGTAGCTAGGCTAACTTGTACTTGATGGTGTTGAAATTGTAGTTTATTGGGTAATTTACACTAAATATTTCTTCTAAAGCAACATTCCGCTTGAATGGCTGTTTGTAAATACTTATAATATGGGAAAACTTATGAACAAACCAAATCTTATTTTCAACTCAGTTCTTTCACTTAGGCCAACAAGTTAATTGCCAATTTTCTAATTCTCACAGATAACTGAAAAAATGAAAAGATGAACATCAAAGAAAAAAAGAGTCAAATCAAGGAAATGAGCGAAAATGAGAGGAAATCAGAATTCCGGGGCAAGTAGCAAGATCATTAAGTGAATTATTAACCCACAAGAATATAATCATGGCAGTCTTTTCAAATTTGAAATTAGCTGAAAAAGAGTGAAATTAGCAAGGAGTTAGAACACAGATATGGCGACAACATTCGAAATGACATAGAAATGGCTTATATTCAGAAACCTCTAACAAATTATCAAGTGAATTGATGAAATGACCAATAGACCATGAGTGAATTGTACAAAGCTTGGGTTAAAGTGACCCTCATGTTACGAGGCAGCAGAGTAAAAGAATTGATTTCAACTGTGTGAAGATATAACCGCCATAATGGCATTTTATTTTTAACCTAGAGATAGGCGTCATCGGTGATTGCAATAATTGTAGCACAAAGGCTTAGAGAAACTACAAAGTCAGAGGAAAAAGACTAATGAACCTCATGCAAACATGTCATGAAGGGAATCATTCTTTGTAGTTGAAAATGATTAACCTTTATTTGCTATCTTGTCATTTTTTTATTTACAAGTACAGTAAAACTGTGTATGTTGAACATTTTTTGCCGCAAAAAATGTCAGTGTTCGAAGGTGTTAAGTACAGAGGGTAACTTATACAGAAGTCATTGTGTGGAGCAAGGTTGTCTACAAGAGACAGGTGTTCACTAGAGAGAGGTGTTCACTAAGACAAATTTTATTGTATTTCACTTATTACTTCACAATTCGCACAATGATTGAGTTTCAGTGTGGAATAAGCATAAACTTGAGGCAAACTTTCCAGCGCAGGGTTGTAAGACATTTTTCTCCATCTAAGTGGCCTGAAAAGATTGACTTTCTTAATTTTTCCAAAATTTGAACTGTACATTGGAAAAATACTAAAAATGCAATTTTAGCTAATTTAATCATGCCACAAAAAAGCTAGGTACTTAACACAAAGACAAAGATACATCACAAACAATGTGAAGCACCTTTATGTTTCAACTGATTGACAAAATTGTGGTTACTATCAAATTACCCCGAACAAAATATTCTCCTATTAAATTACCCTCAACAAAATGTTCTGAAGACTACAATTCGAAGTGCAATAAAGATGAAACACACAAAGTGGTGGACGAAAAATAATTTTCAATTGATGGAAAAATATGAGGGTTGCTTCAATGCAGTCTGCATTAAAGGCAGAAGGTTTGAATAAAGCTAAAATAGCATAATAACAAGGACAGGGGATTGGAAGAAACCTCAAGGCATCAATCAATATATACTCGAAATACTTATAAAGAGGCAATCTTTCACAAATTACTTTAAATAGCATCATTGATTGAAGGGTCACACTTAGATTACTTTGATATTACATCTATTTTATATTGATTACTTCAAGTACCAAAGACAATTGTTTCCTCAAACGAAACCCCTTCACCTAGATTAGATTACATTGGTACTTATGTCAGTAAGTTTTTTTGAAATTGGCAATTATTTAGAAATGTTATTTTTTGTTATAAATTTGTATAAATAAAGTGTTTTTCTTGAGTATATTCACATGTAAATACATGGAAGCAAAACACTAAAAGACAAATCTTCTTAAAGACTAACCTCTGCATTTGTTCGACTTTGCTTCTTAAAAGAGAGCTTCATCTTTATAACTAGAACCTGCACACAGGATACTGAAAGACAAGCCCATGAAGAAGAATCTCAAATTAATCTCGCAAAATAAAATTAAGCCCCATAAAACATATGAATAATGCCCTTACCAATCACAGTTGATATCCATTTCCACAATGTTAGTAGATGAAGTATGTTCCTAATATGGTAATCCATTTCCTAATTTATAAATGATGCGCATTTATTACAATCTTTAAACACATTGTATTTACTAATTATTAATCCATGTAGTCTATTTGATTTAAAACATAGTTTATTTATTATTCATCCAGATAGTTCATCCGGGTTGTCTTCCTTTTTGCACATATTCTCCATCCTAATTAAAGAGGCACTCATATATGTATCCATTCACAGATAATTCCATGTTAAACATATTGAATCCTATTGATTATACTATCCCTTTAAATTATAACAATTTGCCTAGAATGTCTAAGGTCACTTTGACATCTATCATTGTCAATCAAGTTGGATTTCTGTTACTTTACCTTATACTAATGATTTTGTTATCTGGTGCCTAAAATCTGCGTTCACCAACCTTCTGTCTTGTGTAATTTCCTACTGGACCTGTATACCCAGTACACAGTCTGACGCTGTATTTACATTTAGACTAATGGCCTAGTCACATAGCCCGGCCGATGTCCGGCATCGGTAGAGCTCGGTGGATTTTTTTGGTGCCACCGAGCTCTCCTCATCGGAAGCAGAGCTCGGTGACGTGAACGGACTCCGTCCGGACATCTTCAGGTACTATACTTTCCAAGGCTCTGTCCCACATCGGCCGGAGCTCGGTCGGAGCTCGGCCGGTGTCCGTTAAAAAAACCTCGTCCTCTGGTTGTCTCAGATGCACGGGACACCGACCGATACTCTGCCGTGCACCGGCCGACGTGTGTTCTGATGTGGTTACGATGGGGCTGCGATGAGGGAGCTCGGTGAGAGCCCGGTGAAATTTAACTCCGAAGTTAAAATTTCACCGAGCTGCCACCGATGCGGTTTTAAGCAACAAACGCCACGGATGTCCGGCCGGTGTCCGGCCGGTGTTCGGCCGAGTTCGGTGAAAATTGCATCGCTGGCTCATCGGAACCTCATCGGCCGGGCTATGTGACTAGGCCATTACATGGAGTCATTTTGCTAGGAATTCTGAGATTCTGAAATGTGTTGACATTCTTTAAGTCCTCATAATAGTGAGCCATATTTCATAATTTCCTAATTAGATCCTCTTAAGAAGAGTTCACATCCCAATGGGATTAGTGATAGTGTGGATTATCTCTGATGATCTCTATTATAAATCTTCTTCATTATTCTAATTTAAAAAAATAGAACACATTGTTATGTTGTCATTGCATGAGACTGAGTACTCACTCATAGATTGGACTGAATGACTTTTTTTATTAATTGAATTAATGTAGAATTCTATTATACTGAATCAATCACACTGAATTTTATGGTGATGCTCTATCTTATCCCTTCTGCACTATTATGTAAGCTATATCGGAGAAGACATGCTGTTCATTT